CAAGGAGTGGGATAGCTGGGTCAAATGGAGGTTCCATTCCCAGATTTCCAAGGACATTAGAAGAAAAAGTAGGCCCAAATCTCCATCATGTCAGATTGGGCCCCAACTTCCTTAAAAGACTCCTATAGCACAAGAATTAAAATCAAGAATCAATAAATGAAATGGATTCAAACTAAAAAGTTTCTTCTCAGCAAAAGAAACAATCAATGAGTGAATAGAGAGCCCACAGCTTGGGAGCAAATTTCTACCACATGTACATCAGATAGAGCTCTAATCTCTAGGATATATAAAGAACTCAAAAAGCTAAACACCAAAAGAAGAAATAGCCCAATCAACAAATGGGCCAAGGAACTGAACAGACACTTCTCAGCAGATGATATGCAATCAATCACTAATATATGAAAAAATGTTCAACATCTCTAGCAATCAGAGAAATGCAAATCAAAATTACTCTAAGATACCATCTTACTCCAGTCATAATGGCAGCTATTAAGAATACAAACAACAATAAGTTTTGGTGAGGATGTGCGGGGAAAGGCACACTCACACATTGCTGGTGGGACTGCTAATTGGTACAGCCAATATGGAAAATGAAACCTTTTCTTAAGAGTATGTTCTGCTTGTGTAATTACCTCTCGTTTCTCATTTTTATATTTTTATGCTCTCCCTTTCTCACTGATGAGATTCAATTGTTGTTAATCTGTTATATTTATTGGCTTTTTTCAAAGTGCTAACTTTTGTATGTGTTAACTTGTTTTCTGTTATCCTGTTTTATAACACATTAAAATCTGCTTTCATCTCTTACAATTCCATTCTTTGGCTTACCTTAAGTTTATTTTTTTGATATTTTGTGTTTTGTTTTAATTTATGTTTATTTTTGTGTTTTATAATCTATCCCATATGATTCTTTAATGTCTGTTTTTTTCATTTGCTTCTTACAACTTTGATTTCATTGCTGTGAAGAAATTTTTCCTTTTACTATATTCTTAAGTTTTTCTAGCTCATGTTTTTATGTCTTCCTTTTGTCTTAGCATCTCTTCTCTGGGTTCTTGTATTACTGGCTTTGGTTCACCCTTTTAAAGACAGCAGTTCCTTTACATTGTTTTATTTCTTTTAATTCATGATCATACTCTTCACCTGCTTTGTGACAGTGCTTTCTGGTATTTCTTTGTCTCTTGACAAGTTGTTTTGTTTTTCCTATTGCTGTTTATACATATGACCTGTCTCAAATTTATTTATTTTTTCATAGTGAAAGTAGGGATCCAGTTTCTTTCTACCATTTTCTCTTCCTTCTTCTCTCTTTCTCTCTCTCTCTTTCTTCTCTTGCAAATGTTAATATCACTGTAATAGAACAATTTGTTGAAAAGATTTTCTTTCCCCCATTGAACTGATTTAGCACCATTGTCAAAAATAGTTGATTGTATATATGTGAGTCTCTTTCTGGGTTCTATACTTTTCCATTGGCTTCTTATCTATTAACACACTGTTGTGGTAACTCTAGATCTTCAGTAAGTCTTAAATAGTAGACCTCCTACTGTATTTATGTGGCTGTTCCTGGCTCTTTGCATTTTAGGATCATCTTGCTGATTTCCACAAAAAGTGCTACTTGGGTTTTTAACTAGGGCTATGTTCAATCTACAGATTTATCTGGGGAGATCAACAACTATGAATCCTCCAATGGCACATCCCTTCATTTACATAAGTTTATGCTTTGGGTTGGTAAGTTTTAATGTTTTCCCCTAGATTTTTACTGGAGCCTTATTCTATCAATGCTCTTCCAGTGATTCTATTATTATTCATTATTGAATGAGCCAGGGCCCCTGGACCTGCTCTTGGCAGGAACTTCCTCTAGAGGAACAGAGGTAGGGTCGGCAAACGGGTACAGAGACAGACTGCTTTCTATATGTATGTTTGCTTGTTTTATTCTTTATATAGCCAATATTTTTAGCTTGTGTTAATTTTTATTTGTAATTAAGTTGTAATCAGGTTTGTAATTAACTTACTACCTTCGCAAGTTCAGGCACCATTTTGGCAGAGAATTGAGTTAGTCCCTCCCCTTCAAGAAATGTATTTTTGCTGTCATTTTCTGAGATCTGCTACTCTTTGATGGCTCTTTATGGCTTTGTTATACTCTCAGCAGCAGTGGGAAAACCCTACTCCTTCTTTTTTCAATTTTCATATTTTTATTTTAGTTTCATTCAAAAATAGAGATTTCAGTTATTTTCTTTCTGCCTTTGTATGACTCTTGGGAAGAAAAGGAAAAAAATGCTGAGTTGCATAACCATGTTCATATAAAAGATAATAATTTAATTTTTTAAAAAAAATCACATTTAAAATAATATATTGAACTTTCTGTACAAACTTATAAAGTAGAATCTCAATATAACACAATGAAAAATTATCTTACAATATTTGCAAAGCAGAATGTGGGTGTTCTGGAGTCCCATGCAAGAAATGTTCATTTCCAAAATATGTAATCTTTGAGTAGAAAAGCCTATATTTATGATGAATTAAAATTAAGTTAATCTGAAAAATAAGCTAGAGAAAAATTCCTTCAATGTTTTAATTTTTCTAGTTGTCTATCATTTCTGTTCTCTTAAGACTTATACTACTTTAGAATTTGGGAACTAGAAGAAATATTAATTCGATTCAGTATGGTAGGAAATTGGAGTTAAGTGTCCTCATGTAAATACAACTGCTGAGCATCAGAACTGTAGCATTAGATAGCCAACTTCCAGCTCTTCATTCTCTCGCTGGTATACATGAGCTCCTTTACTACATCTCTGATGAATTATCAAAGGCATTTTGATTTATAAGTGAGAAAATCAATTGGAGCTGGATAAGGCTGTGCACTTTTGTTTATAATAAAACCAGGACTAGAACCCAGGTTCTTGTAAATACAAGGTAAATAGTTTAAATTACTGAAAGATCCAAATATTAGGATAATTTATGGGAATCCCTATCTCCTCCCTGAACATTTATCACTTTCTTTGGGGGCATTTTTCAGAATAGCTGCAATTGCTTTGGTTTTGAAATTCTTGATTATACAGTGCATTAAACATTACCCAACAAAATATCTCATTCATCACTGCAGAAAGAATGCTTTGTATTGGGGAAGGTCCTGTTTAGGGAGCAACTTATGCTTTAGTGTTTCTTCTTTCTTTTTTTCTTCCCTGATCTCCTTCCCACCTTGGGCATTCAGATCACACCACGACTTTAACAAATGGATGCTCACAAAAGGTAGTTGTGAGCCAAAACCAAAGGAGATAAACAAGGGAAGAGAAGTTAAATAAGGGCAGGGCAGTAACAGAGAAGGCCTGGGGGTCCCAGGAGCTGGGAGTTGAAAGAAATATAGAGATCCAGAAACAAGATCTCTTTAGAGTCCAAGTATAGTTCAAGGCCAGGAAAAAGATCAGGCAGGCAGTCACAAAAGCAAACTCAACACCTTACGTTAGAGAATACAGGAAATGGGGATAGTACCGAGTATCAGGGAAAACCCAGCATGGTGCCAGTGGGTGCAGGGCCACCATTTACCCAACTGCATGGAACACCACTTTTATTGCTTACTGTGAAGAACAGGTCAGGAACATCAGGAAGCTGGCCAGTATCTTTAACAGGCTAAAGGTGAAAGATGGCTTGCCTCTCTTAGTGACTTCTAGTATCAATCATCCTCTGGGCTGAAGTGCTAAAACTCATACTGTCTTCCCTGGACCTATCTACGTTTGTGGGAATCCAAGCAGTAAGTGGAAGGACTTAAGCTTCAAATGGGAGAGGTTTTTCAGAAAGAGTTATTGGGGACTTCCTGAGCTCCCTGACCCCCTTCAGTGGTCAGTGCTCTGCTTAGGAGCCCAGGTACCAGCCCTGGTAATTGCAGAGTTTGGGGGAAAAACACCCCCACTCTGCTCCCCAGTTCAATACATACACCTTTAATTTGATGTTTTTGAATTCAGCTCCAAGACTGTCGTCAGCCATTTTTTCTCTTTCCTTTAACACTGTCCACCTTGTTCCCTTTTATACCATGAACAGAGCCAAGCAGTGTGCATTGAAATCCAATGTCCTTTGTGTTGCTTGAGAAATCTGAGGCCGATGTCTCCGGAGCCTTTTTGTTTCCCTCGCCTCCTTCTGCCCGTGACCTGCCAACTCCTTTTGGCTCTCCTGGGCTTTCGTCATGTCCTATATCGATTGCTGCCCCCTTTTCTTTATTCGTGGGATGCTAAGGCTGGACCCTGCAGCACAATGATGCTGGCTTTGGATGATGGTTAGGTCACCTCTGACCCTGGGCACACAGGTCCAGCGACACTTCACCAGACCAGGGTTGGTGTTGGATCCGCTGCTCATAAAGGAACCAACTGATTTTGTTTTGTTTTTCCTCAAACTGCTCTTCTCAACTCCCAAGGTCTTTTCTGGGATTTCAGACTGCTTCTTTAAATGCTCTTTTTCTGCTTCTTTTCCATCACAGTCCTTGTGATCCTCAGGTACCCAGTTTACTAATTACCCCCAACGCTGGCACCTGACAGCAGGTGGCCACAGTTCTGTTAATTATGTCCCCAGGCTTAGAAATTATCTTCTAATGACATCCTATCATCTACCTCTGACTCTTGGGCAGAAAGCAGGTTACAGACATGAATTTCATCCCCTGAGTTCTTAAAATCTATTCTTCTGGCCTCGCACCTTAAGATTCGTGTGCTCTGTATGCCTTCCAGGGATGTGACAAAATTGCCAAGTGTTCAAAGCCTTCTACTGAAACTGGTGGAGTCACAGCCACTGCAGGCTCAAATAAAGGCGATTCGAGAGCAGCCAGCACAGCACTGACTTACCCAAATATGCCAACTTGGGAGGGAGGTAGCATTAAGGCCCTTCTCTCGTCTCCCTCAGCCCCAGAGCTCCCAAGTGAAGTGATCCTTAATCTGAACAGAGATTGCAGCTTTCCCACAGAGTCAAATGAAGAGAGTAAAGGAGCCATGGTTACTGTCTTCATGTTGGGGTGAGTACAGAAGACTATGATATAGGATATGATACCTGGGTGTCCAGAGAAATAGGTGTTAACCAGCTATAATAGTTGAGCAAACAGACCTCTGTTTTTCATTCACAAAGTGAGGAAAATATCCACTTTTTTTTTTTGGAAGTACATCCAAGAGAATTAATTGTGCAGTATTTCCAGAAGCCTTGCTATTCAGTGAAGAAGAGCAGGAGCTATGTGCATATATAAGTGCACCCACAAAGGTCTGTAGATATACAGATAAGCCCTCACTGACTGCTTCACAACACTGAAAGAGATAAATTATGGGTAAGGAAAATTGTCGAGCAGGGAGTTTGGGTCAATTTGTAGGTACTTTGAAGCAATTGTGATAGATGTGGAAGAGAAATCAATGGCGAAATATCAATAGGGATTTCACTATAAATACAATATGCTAATGGTCTAAGGAGTCATCAAAAATACTGTGTGTTTATGTGGGCAAATTAAAAGGGGAAATAAGATCTTAATACAAATAATAAAAATTAAATAAAAATGCACTTGGTTTCTCAATTGATGCAGTGAATATGGGAAAGGAAGAGAGAGAAAATCAGGTGTGGTCAAGGTCCAAGATCTCTTACCTGGTCTCTAATCACAATCACACTTTTTAATATGTGACTCATTGCAATTGATCCTCATAATGTCCCTGTATGATTGCTAGGGCAGGTTTCCTTTTTATATGAGAGGTGTCTCCAAGATCATACGACGTGCATACAGGAAAAGTTCAGATGTGTCCCATGCCATTCCTCTTGAGCTAGGTCGCTTCTTACTCTTCCTATTATCTCCAGGAATTGTTTTCTTTGAGACATCCATTGTGTCTCTAACCTGTCCTCACTCTTCAGAAAATCCTCTTTCTTTTGGTCCTTCTTCAACGACTTGGTAGCTAGTGTAGGCCCACTGAATATCTGTTCTCTGTAAATAAGACCTTCCTCTGGAGTCAGCCAACTCCCCAGGGCCGCCCTGAATGATGATGTATGGCCTGGCCCTGGCATGTCTCCAAACCCTCTCTTCAACTGATTCTACCTGGGCAGCTCCCAGCCTGGAATTTCTTGTCATTGCTCAATCAAAGAGTAGCCTATGGTAGAAGGGTGATAAGAAGGAAGTAATTTGGAATCTGCCGAAACAATTGTACACTAAAATTCCTGGCAGCTGTGTAGTTTCCCCTTCTGAATGCGGCCAGCCCTGGTTAGAAATAATTCAGATTTTCTTGCTGAGCTTCACTGATTGTTTGTCCACCATTCACTCTAGTGCTGATAAAATAACTCTCAAGAGGGATTTTTAATTTGTACTCGGTTTTGCTGGGTCTTCTCTTTCATGCTTTCCCACTCTAATTATTGAACTCTGCACTTTGCTCTCTTTCTCAGGTTGTTTGAAATCTCCTCAATCAATTAATCCCCCTTCTCCTCCTTCTGATACATTTGGGGGCTCTGGCGTTCACACGGGTCAGGGTACCATGTGAAGGACGCCATGAGATTTGCAGGTGGGTAAACAGGCCTACTTCATGACTATGTGTCATTTCTCTATTCTAGTTTTACACCTGGGTTAAAATGATCACCGTCTCCGGTCCCTTCCCTCCCCTCCCCCCCACCCTGGCCACAGGGAGACGGAGGGAGGATAGCAGTGGTAAGGATTCATTGCTCTTCCTCAATGTGTGTGAACACACTGCATCGTTCTAATGAGACCCCGGACACATACAGCAGACTCTCCCTGCCGGCTTGGCTGTGTTCTCCGCTCTGCAGACAACAAAAGATGACAGGTTGTAAGTTCCAGCCTCAGAAGAGAGCAACTGGCTTCCGTTGGCAACCTTACTTGTCAACTGGCAGCTCCAAGAAACAAGGCTCCCTGGGTCATCTGAGGACAGGCGGGGGCTGACAAGTTTGAAAGTAGAAGAAAAGAAAGGGTTGACTTCAATTCTGCAGCACTACAATGCCCCCGGGGGCCCCTTTCCCTCTATACTTGCCTCCTTTCCGGAACTCATCCCCGTTTCTCATCCCAGCCCGATACTAGAGTCAGACTTATAAAAAGTTATAACAAGAAGCTTTCCATTTCCTGAATATGCTTCATAGACAGGGCCCCAAACAGTCGCTGTGTCTCTGTCATCTACCTGCTCAGTGAATGTCTGTCTTTGCTCTGCAGACCTAGCCAGCCTGGCATCATCTGATATCAGTAAGGAATAAAGTGTCGCCCATTTGATTTCTTTTCTTCAATGGAAGACTCCCAAGTGTTGATTGGAAATTCAATATTCTAAATCCAATGAAGAGTTAGGTCCTATATTAGAGATCAATTATTTATAATGTATTTTAAATAAACATTTTTTGGGGGAATAATATTAGATTTACAGAAAAGTGGCAAAGATAGTACAGAGAGTTCTTGTATAATCAGTTCCCAGTTTCTAGGCCATGAGTTGTAATACTTGGCTGGTTTTAGACTAATAGGAGGAAATCAGACTTGCAGATTTATTTGACCTGTCTAATTTGCAGCACCGTTTCTTGTCACCAGGGTTCTTAACTCCAAAGCAGTGTCTCAGTTCTTTTTTGGGCTCTGGGTAAGCCTGACTGGTAGATCCAGTGCCATATTCTGCCTTTAGCCATAAGTTTCCCTCATGCATAACCCAGGCAGCTCTTGGGGTTCAAGACTTGAGCCACTGAACACCGAGCATTTATATTGGGAGAGGTTGCCCCCCTTAAGCCTCCGCAAGGACACCTGGCCCAAGAACCATGAGCTTACCTTCTGGGTGAGGGTACCACCCAGACCTTTGATCTTGACTGTGGTTGGTCCTTTCTGTGGGTTCCCAGGGGGCTCTGCTCTGCTCCTGTTGCTTCCCAGGATGCATCTCACATGTTGTCTGTGGATCCAGGTGCTCAGCATTTCTTCCTAGCCTCCATCTCTGGCAGTATCACATCAGACCTCACACAGTCCACACAGCCTACTTGAAATGAGGCCTGTTGGCATCACATTCTCCAGATTTAGTGTCTTAGCTACCAGTCTAAACCTTCTCTTGATCCCTTTTCTCCCAAATTAACTAATCTAAGCCCACATCCCGGCCCTTCCCCCACTTCTCCAATCTGCTCACACTGACCAAGCTATGCTTGATTATATCAGGCATGATGATAACACTCAACTTCAGTCGGTCACTTTTAAAATTTTTTTTTTAAATTGAGCTATATATGACAGTAGAATGCACTTTGATACAACATATGTAATGTCATTCTTCTGGTTATACACGATATAGAATCCCACCAGTTGTGTAGTTATATATGTATATAAGGTAATAATGTCTGATTCATTCTATTATCTTTCTATCCCCCTAACCCCTCCTCTCTTTCACTCCCTTATACTTAATCTAAAGTAACTCTATTCTTCCCTAGCCCCACCCCCACCTTATTGTGAATTAGCATTCACATATCAGAGAAATCATTCAGCTTTTAATTTGGGGGGAATGGCTTATTTCACTTAGCATGATATTCTCCAGCTACATCCACTTACTGGCAAATCATTTTATTCTTCTTTAAGGCTGAGTAATATTCAGCTGTATGTGTGTGTATATGTGTGTGTGTGTGTGTGTGTGTGTGTGTGTATGTTTGAGTGTATATATGAGATAGGAATTTAGAAGTAAATGAGCTGAATTTTTGGCCTTATGGAAATACAGAGGCAAATTGAATTTAAGACCACCCAGAGACCATGGGGAAAAAACAAGAGATCTGGAGGCATGTGGTGGACAACATTGAGTAATACCATCAAATATCCCTCCAACATGGAGCTTGGAAAGTATAGGGAAGAAGAAGATATCGTGTCCTCTCTTCCCACGTCTTCCTGTAGTTTCATCTTCCAGGAAGACAGCAGCTAGATGTTGCTCTTTGCTATTGCTAAAAAAAGAGAAAGAAAGCCAAGTGTGGTGGCCTCAGACTCTATACTTAAAACAAGTCTATGTGATCCATATCCAACAAGAAAAAACTCAAGACAAAAACATGTAATTATAATGATAGTGCCCAGAAATATAAAAAGCTCATTGATGCTTCCAAATTATTCATTGTTTTGAATTAACTGAGTGATGATTAAGATGTTGATTAAT